GCTGAGGGAGTTGGGACTGTTTAGTATGAGGAAGAGGAGGCTGAGGGGAGACCTCATCACTCTCTACAACGTCGTGAAAGGACACTGTAGAGAGGTTGGTGCTGGTCTCTTCTCCCAGGTAATTAGTGACAGAACGAGAGGGAATGGCTTCAAGCTCCAACAGGGTAGGTTTAGATTGAACATTAGGAAAGAATTTTTCACCAAAAGAGTGATAGGGCATTGGAACAGGCTGCCCAGGGAGGTGGTGGAGTCACCATCCCTGGCTGTGTTTAAGGGACGTTTAGATACAGTGCTAAGGGACATGGTGTAGGGGAGGACTTTGTAGAGTAGGGTAGATGGTTGGACTTGATGATCCCAAGGGTCTCTTCCAACCTAGACGATTCTATGATTCTATGATATTATTCCCACTTGATGTCTGGGAAGTTGAAATTTGCCATAAGAACATGGGTTACTGATCTAGAAATTTCTCCTAATCGCCTATAGAATAATTAATCAATGCTTATATTCTGGCTCAGCAACTGGTAGTAGACACCCACTACAACATCTCCTTTGTTTTCTATCCCTCTAATCCTTACCCAAAGCCTCTCAACCATATTATCATTAAAGGCTGTACAATCAAACCTCTCCCTTATATATAGCATGACACCTCCACCTCACCTTCCCCACCTATTCCTCATGAATTGCCTGTAGTTCTCCATCCCAGCACTCCAATGAGGGGACTCATTCCACCAAGCCTCAGTAATACCGATGTTATTGTAGTTCTAGATACTAAACAGCACTTCCAGTTCATCCTGTTTTTTTCATATACTGCATACATTTTTGTGCAAGCATTTTAGATACACTCCAGAGCACTCCATGCTCCCAGGAACAGTGTAAATGTTCTTACTAGCGTTGCTACCCTCAGACGATGCCATGCCAACCCTTGGCTTACTACTGCAATCCTATTGGTATCTCCTTCCCCCACTGATTCTGGTTCAAAGCTCACTTGATCAGTCCTGCCACCTTACATCCAAAGATGTGATTTCCCTATCGGGATAAATTGATCCAGCATACCTTATGTCTCAATGGCTCTTCCATGGTTTAAAATTCCAAGATTGTGGCAGAAGCAACAGTCCAGATATTGATATCCTGGGCCCACCTATTTATTCCAAAGTCTTCCCCTATTACTGGAAGGATCAAGGCAAACCTTACCTGTGCTTCTGAATTTCTTAGCATTCTTCCATAGGCTCTGAGATCTCTTTTGATAGAACTCAGACTTTTTGTTGCAACTTCATTAGTACCGACAAGAAAGAGCTGGAATGGATAGTAGTCTGAAGGTTGCACTAAACTTTTCAATCTTGGGGTGACATATCTAATTCAGGCCTCAGGGAGGCAGCAACCTTCCCTGAAAAGAGGGTTTGGTCTGCAAGCAAGCACTTCCATTACACAGAGGAGAGAATCACCAATGACTATAACTCACCATTGTCTCCTCTTCACACTTAATGCAGGTTTTGTTGTGAGGGGTTGGTCTCTCTGATCATGGCAAGACTGCTTGTGTAGGTTCATCCTTTATCTTGTTGTGTGCTTCCTCCACTGTACCCAGGGCCTTGTACCTCTTCTGTAAGGGTATCATCTCAGAGGATAAGGAAGGGTTTCTCTCACAGCTCCATGCTGTAACCTTCTCCCACTCCTCCTTATCTGTTTTAACACTGCCTTCATCCTGGCAAAAAACAGGTCCTGGACCTGCCTCCATAGTGGTCACACTGTGCTGGCTTACATGCATAAGAGATGGCAGAGTGCAGCTCCATTGATCAATCTCCTTCTCAGACTCCAGAATATTCCTCAGTCTGCCCACCACCTCCTGCAGCTCAGCCACTAAACACAGCAGTTCATCTATCTGGTGACAACTTCCACGGGCTTGCTTGCAATCATTCTCTGCCTCCAAGAATATCCCTTCACAGATCCCACAACAAGAAAACTGGGTGGTCAAATGTTTGGACAGGAGCTCTGTCCGTGTGGCTACATTGGTTCTACCGGGTGCTAGACACTCGGGAGAAGCAGAGGACATTGCTTTTTGCTGGGTGATCGCCATGTTGAAGCAGACCTGCCTGCTGCTATGCAGTGTGCCTGCTGCCACACTGCCACTACTTGCATTTCTTATCCTTGTTAAGTCAGTTGGGACTTCTCTTTTTCTTCACGATCTTTCAAAGATGATAGACAACAATTTAAAATCAAGAGACTTTTTGATTAAATTTCTGTTTTTAAAATAGTTTTTATAATTTTTAGGACTATAGTCCATAATAAAGTGAAAAATTTAGAAAATAATTAATAGTACTATAAGATCAAAATAAACCTGAATCTTCGTTGTCTGGATACATATATGAAATTACCTTGCTCTGAAACACTTCTGTTTTCTACAGCTAGAAGTCCTGATTTTACTTTCTTCAGGACCAGCTTCTGGAAATGTGTACCTCATATGAATATGTATTTTATTTAAATTTGACAGTTATAAATGAATAACACTATATTTTATAAGAAAGTTTCATAGCAAAAAAAATTATTATTTAGACCACTTATTTATACACATGTTGAATCACACATTCAAGGAGAAATTCAGATAGTGTAATAATTTATGCTTCCATCCTTTATATGAATGTTCTGATGAACCCCTAATGTGACAGACAAAGATAATGTAATAAATGTCTTACTGCACTTGGAAGACCACGAGAAAATGTAACCTGACACAATATTTTGTTGCAGGTGGGAGTAAAAACCAAGTGCTTTCCTGGCCCTTTACAACATAGTTAAGAATTTGACTGACAGAATGCTGGCACCAGCTGTGGAAGAGCTGATCAGCCTCAACTCCAAGTAAGTGAAGTTTTACGCATTTGGAGGTTCACTTCAAATTAAGTTTACAAAGCCTGCTGATTTCTAACAACAAACATAAATTAAAAATGCAGTTTCTAAGACACTATAGAGCACTTTGATTTTCCATGTTGTGGAATTCAATTTCTTTTTAAACGCATCTTTAAATCGGTATGCAACTTCCTTTCTTCATAGTTTTATTTTGCAAACTAAACAACATCACATTCTGGTTCTTCTTCCTTTCTAGACAATTGAAAGAACTCACTTAAAATAATGATAAATTATTATAAAACATGAATTTAAATCATTAACATATATGCATATATTCAATGATCAAGAAAATATAGGTAGTAATCTATTTGCTATAGAAGACAAACTGGTGTAAGGATGTAAGGAACATCATTTGGGTGCTAATTAAATGAACGTTCTTTCCTATTGCATTTCTCGTGGAATAAAACATGGGAGGCAATTGTGGATGCAGACAGTTAGAAGCCTTGATGGTCCCAAGGTCTTCTCTGAGAGACTCCCACAAGTTATTCCTCCCTTGCTACGGGATAAGGTGACAGCAGTACTAAAGCCACAAAATACAGGAATTATGCACACACACAAAAAAAAATCTGCAGGGAACTTCATGCTGGAAACAAGTGGAAGGCACCAGCTATATTAAAACACATTTCTCATTCTTGTATTTTTATTTTTTTATTCATGAACTTTAGTATCTCAAACTTAGAATATTTTATTTTTCCTGATATTCTTTCCTGGCAAATGTCAAAAAAATTCCATTTTCTATAGCTAATAGGATCTCATGGAGAAAATAAAGGTAGGATGTTTTTCAGTTTGTCAGATCTGCTTTTGCTCACAGAATAACACAGTGTAACTTCTCAGTGAAAGGCTGTTTTCCTCTTTGAACAGCTGCTAAGAAACTTAGAGTATACTAGCCTGGGAAAAGGAGAAAAGAAAGAGAGGGAGAAAGAGAAGAAGAAAGAAAGAGAGGTGGTGATGTGGAACATCAATAAAAGATGTTAAAGTATCATAGAGACAGACAACATGATATTAAAAGAAAAAATGAATCTCTGAAAACACACTAGTGTCACCACAAAATAAACTCTTCGCTGACATTATTGCAATACTTGACAGTTTGGACATTGCTCAAAATGTTTATTTTTAGAGCTATTTGCACAGAAACAGCATAATAGATGAGCCAAATTCCTCTTGGTGGCTGTGTTGACCTAGGACACCAATTGCTTTACAGATTATTTGAAATGTTTATCAAGTTGAATGGATGTTTTGTCTTCTTTTTGCACTTCGAGCCAAACCAAGCAAGGCTACTCATATACAGTATTTACTACATAAAATAAAAGAACTAGGACTCTTGACAAGTTCCTGTCAAATGTATTAAATAAAATGTATAAATCTTCTTCAAGAGTTCTTTTTAAATTAGGCATAGAGGGGAAAAAAAACCCTTAATGTAGCATATTCTTGGTTCAAGCTGAGAATAATGTTTATGTGAGGAGATATTTTTATGTTAAAACGTTCAACAAACAATTTTAGTCTCTATGAGTTTTTAATGTGTGACTCAAAATTTTATGTAAAAATAAGAGCTTTCCTTCAGCGATTTGGTGATTGATAGCTGCATTTAGGAAACACCTTTATTAATTATAGGCGGCTATTTTCTCCAAATCTCTATTAGTCTTTGAAAGCAAAAAAAGCCTGCAGCCTAAAGGGGGTTTATTAGTTGTTACTGGTAAAGTTGAAGCCCAGCAATGCTTTAAACTAAAAAATCCCCAAAAGCCAAGACTTTGAGAAAGGGAGTTCTTTGTTGTTTTCCAGTTGCTGGTGAGAGGAAGCAACTACTAAATAAGATCCCAGCTGCTTTAGACAGACTATGGCTTTTTTAAATAAAATATGGATAACTTTAATTTGGGTACAATAAAGAGAACATACCTTAAGCCTTACCAAATCTTAATTCTGATATGACTTTCTACAGCATCCTAGGAGAAATTAGAAAGGGAAAAGGTTTGAATTATCTTCTAGAAGTAGTGTTCCTTTTGTGGCAAGACATCTGCTAAAAGAGCTCCATTTGCCACTATTCTTTATGTTTAATGCTGGCCTTTTGAGATAAGCAATGTGTAGCAGACAGGAACAGCTGAAAAATGGATAAAAGTCATCAGGTTTCTTGGAGTGAATGGACGTAGCATCCTTAAACACAAATGACAATGAGAGCTATCCTATACCAAAAGACTATGTTTATACACAGTATGCAGTAGACCTACCTTGATTTCTGCATGGTCTAGAATAGCTCCTAAAACTTAGCAATAATTCCCGGAATTTTTTTTTTTTTATTTCTCCAACAGCCAATTATGAATGGGATACATACATAGAAAGGGGAAATCTCAAGCAGGAGTTCTCAGGCTAGAAAATAATTACCTAGTTAACCCTATTGAGTCTAAAGAGGATGATTTTGACTATTTTGAATACTGCCTAAGTATAGCTTTTTGTGTTAAAAATGAACTGTTTGAGACAATTAATGTTATTCTGTTTTCTGACACAAATCAGCAGTCTTTAGATTTTTAGAGAACAACTCTAAATTATTAAACCTGGAAGATGACAGTTTGTGGAAGATTATTTCTTTTAAATTCATGGTCTTATTGTCTATTTAAAACAGAGTACTTTTTGAAGTTTTTTACCTGGTATTTCAGCATTATGAGTTTGGACAAAGAAATAAAAAGTTTTTCTAATAGTGAAGCAGAAAAAAAGTTCTACTTCATAGGTATTTTCATGTTAAGCAGAAGTGATGTGGGTATACACTGGAGGTTGCTTATTTCTTCAATCAAGTGCAAGATGAAATTAACATCAGTACTTCTGCGCTGATGTACTACATTTTACTGGATGTTTCATTCATTCATAACATGATGTTTACAACATCATGTTAAAATTCTGTGTCTTGCAAACTTAACTCAAGATCAAAGAACCTATCCAAGATAGCAGCATGCAAGCAATTTTAAGCATCTGCTCAACAGTGCTGATAATCTTCTGTCTCTTATGCAATGTCCTAAGCTAGAGAAATATCCCAGTAATGTTTGAAGAAGAAAGAATCTTTTGCCGAAAATTTTCATATTAAAAGGAGAGAATCATAAGCAGCAGACGTTCAAAATGTTTAGTTGACTGACAATTGTTTGGCATGTTTTAAATTTGGAAATGACTGCTCACCCAAGAGCAGTCTCAAAAACTGCCTAAATACTCAAGAGGTGTATTTATGTGGCATATCAGATGACCAATATTTCTGAAGTGGGAGAAGATGATATGAAATTATCAGAATTACTAAGCATAGTGATGGAAAAAAACAGACCTCAGTATTGTGATGCTGAATGTGAATGGTGTGCACATCGTTTTGAAGTCATAGTTACTTATAGAAGTTTTATTTCAACTATTTCTTATTTCAAAGTGAAAGAATCTGGAAATATCAAAATAACCACGTAAAGCAGGTAAGTAGCAATACCAGGACCAATACTGTTTAATATTGTTCATTAATGGACTGAACGATGGTGTGGATTTCACTCTCATCATGCTTGCATAATGACACAAAATGTTCATGAAGTGGTGAATCTGCTAGAGGTCAGGGTTACTGCTCAGAGAAATTATCTGACAAAAACCACATGAAGGTGAACACAAAGTCCTGCATTCAGGAAGTAACACTGGAAGCTGAGGTTAACCAGCTGAGTCTACAGTAATGGCCCTGGGAGCTCTGAGGGACACCAGACAGGTCCCAAGGCAGCAGTACACCCAGGCATAGCACTCCCACATCCTGGACAGCATTTGCAAGAGTGCAACCAGCAAGACTAGGAAAGTGGTCCTGCACTGCTGTTCAGCACCTGTGAGGTAGCATCTGGAATGCACAGCTTTGGGCACTCCAGTATGAGACAAACATCAATGTAATGGAGATAGGCCTGACCAATGTGGTCTGTGGATGGAGGACAGGGCGCTCGAGGACAGGCTGTAGGGGCTGGGCTTGTTGAACCTGGGAAAGGGACAGTTTTGGGGTGGAGGAGAGGATTTACTGGTGTATACAGTTACTTGACCATAGGAGGTAGAACTGACAGAACCAGACTCTTACGAGACTTACACAGAGGAAGGACAAGAGACAACAAACACAAACTGGAACACAGAAAATTTTTACTAAAGATAATGAAAATAGATTACTGTGATGATAGGCAGTGTCGCTGTTGAGACGGCCACAATGACACACACACACCTTTTTGAGCAAGAGCCCAAAAGAACCCACTTTATTGTTTTAACAAAGTCTTCTATATCTTTCTTAGGAACATGTGTTCATGCATAATTAGTTCACTCAAAGTCCAGCAGTTCATGATTGGATAACTTCCTCCTTCTTTGTTCTCTGCTGTAACTTCAGTAACTTTTCTCTGCTGGCAGTCTGACAGGTCCTTAATCTTATTTACTCCCCTTTTCTCAGGACTCTTAGGCCTCTTCAAGGATACACAGGTCTCTGCTCAAGGCCAATGTTAAGCTCACATTCTGATCCCTCGGACCAGCTGAGGTTTCCCACAAGGCAGGTTTCCCAGAAAGACTGTGGAATCTCCACTCTTGAAAATGCTTAAAACCTGAATGGACATCTTTCAGAGCAGTATGCTTTAACTGGATGTGCCTTGCACAGCGGGGTTGGAGTAGATGGCATCCAAAAGTCTTATCTATAGATTAAATAATTCTCTAGTTTTGTGACTGAAAATACTGAATAAAACACTAGAAGAATATAGAGGCTTGACCTTTACTCAAGAATTACATGTCTATGAGAATCTGTCAACTTTGTTCTCTGTGCTTTTCAGAGATTCATCCCAGATTAGAGCTATGGAATTTACCTGTTGAAAGAGGAACAGAGTTAATTTATTTAGAGACACCTGTTTACTGTAACATACAGACCTATTTTTATTCTGGATGTCAGGATAACCTTCATGAGGAAAAGTATGAAAAGTAAGTGAAATGATGAG